ATTCCAATGTGTGCGGATCGGAAAAAAATGCGGAATAACCCTTTAACCGTACATTTTACAGATACGTGGCCATTGACTTTTTCGAAGATCTTATTGAAATACACGTGTATGTCAAATTTTGTGTCATTTTGACAAAGCGTACAGGTGTGGCACTCTACAATATGTATTTTCACCTTAGGGGACAAGAAAAAATGGACTTTTTTCTCCTGCCATTGGGGGGCGCTCTTTTGGGGAGTAAAAATTCCTTCACAAATGTGTTGATGGCTGGACATTGCATCATCCTAGAAAACTTGGAGGCCAGTGAGGAGAAAAATAAAAAGTTATAAGACTTTTAAATAAGTGGATTTTAGTGTTATCTTTGGCGCCCCCTAGAACGTAAACCGTGGGGTGCAGCGTCATGATTTTGATAACTTTTAATGGCCACGGGGTGTAGATTGGCCTGAGCAAATGTGGTGCCGGTGGAACGAAAGCCTTCGGAGGAGTTAGCGAAATTCCAATGTGTGCGAATCGGCAAAAAATGCAAAATAGCCCTTTAACCGTACATTTGACAGATACGCGCGCATTGACTTTTTCGTAGATCTTATTGAGATACATGTGATTGTCAAATTTTGTGTCAATATGACAAAGCGTACAGGTATGACAGTCAACAATGTGTTTTTTCACCTTATGGGACAAGAAAAAATGGACTTTTTTCTCCTGCCATGGGGGGGCGCTCTTTTGGGGATTAAAAATTCCTTCACAAATGTGTTGATGGCTGGACATTGCATTATCCTAGAAAACTTGGAGGCCAGTGAGGAGAAAAATAAAAAGTTATAAGACTTTTAAATAAGTGGATTTTAGGGTTATCTTTGGCGCCCCCTAGAACCTAAACCGTGGGGTGCAGCGTCATGATTTGAATAACTTTTAATGGCCATGGGGTGTAGATTGGCCTGAGCAAATGTGGTGCCGGTGGAACGAAAGCCTTCGGAGGAGTTAGCGAAATTCCAATGTGTGCGGATCGGAAAAAAATGCGGAATAACCCTTTAACCGTACATTTTACAGATACGTGGCCATTGACTTTTTCGAAGATCTTATTGAAATACACGTGTATGTCAAATTTTGTGTCATTTTGACAAAGCGTACAGGCGTGGCACTCTACAATATGTATTTTCACCTTAGGGGACAAGAAAAAATGGACTTTTTTCTCCTGCCATTGGGGGGCGCTCTTTTGGGGAGTAAAAATTCCTTCACAAATGTGTTGATGGCTGGACATTGCATCATCCTAGAAAACTTGGAGGCCAGTGAGGAGAAAAATAAAAAGTTATAAGACTTTTAAATAAGTGGATTTTAGTGTTATCTTTGGCGCCCCCTAGAACGTAAACCGTGGGGTGCAGCGTCATGATTTTGATAACTTTTAATGGCCACGGGGTGTAGATTGGCCTGAGCAAATGTGGTGCCGGTGGAACGAAAGCCTTCGGAGGAGTTAGCGAAATTCCAATGTGTGCGAATCGGCAAAAAATGCAAAATAGCCCTTTAACCGTACATTTGACAGATACGCGCGCATTGACTTTTTCGTAGATCTTATTGAGATACATGTGATTGTCAAATTTTGTGTCAATATGACAAAGCGTACAGGTATGACAGTCAACAATGTGTTTTTTCACCTTATGGGACAAGAAAAAATGGACTTTTTTCTCCTGCCATGGGGGGCGCTCTTTTGGGGAGTAAAAATTCCTTCACAAATGTGTTGATGGCTGGACATTGCATCATCCTAGAAAACTTGGAGGCCAGTGAGGACAAAAATAAAAAGTTATAAGACTTTGAAATATGTGGATTTTAGGGTTATCTTTGGCGCCCCCTAGAACCTAAACCGTGGGGTGCAGCGTCATGATTTGAATAACTTTTAATGGCCATGGGGTGTAGATTGGCCTGAGCAAATGTGGTGCCGGTGGAACGCCAGCCTTAGGAGGAGTTAGCGAAATTCCAATGTGTGCGGATCAGCAAAAAATGCGGAATAACCCTTTAACCGTACATTTTACAGATACGCGCGCATTGACTTTTTCATAGATCTTATTGAGATACATGTGTGTGTCAAATTTTGTGTCAATATGACAAAGCGTACAGGCGTGACACTCAACAATGTGTATTTTCACCTTAGGGGACAAGAAAAAATGGACTTTTTTCTCCTGCCATGGGGGGGCGCTCTTTTGGGGATTAAAAATTCCTTCACAAATGTGTTGATGGCTGGACATTGCATCATCCTAGAAAACTTGGAGGCCAGTGAGGGCAAAAATAAAAAGTTATAAGACTTTTAAATATGTGGATTTTAGGGTTATCTTTGGCGCCCCCTAGAACCTAAACCGTGGGGTGCAGCGTCATGATTTGAATAACTTTTAATGGCCATGGGGTGTAGATTGGCCTGAGCAAATGTGGTGCCGGTGGAACGAAAGCCTTCGGAGGAGTTAGCGAAATTCCAATGTGTGCGGATCGGCAAAAAATGCGGAATAACCCTTTAACCGTACATTTGACAGATACGCCCGCACTGACTTTTTTGTAGATCTTATTGAGATACATGTGTGTGTCAATTTTTGTGTCAATATGACAAAGCGTAAAGGCGTGACAGTCAATAGTGTGAATTTTCACCTTAGGGGGCGCTATGGAGCCATTTTGCATTTTATTGTTTGGGCGACTTCGGAATATCAAATTTTTCACCAGGCCCGGTCATCCTGCCAAATTTCATGAGTTTTCGCCAGTGGGAAGTGGGCCATTTTCCAGTTCAAAGGGGAGGAAAAAGAAGAAACTAGGGCCCCGTTGGGGCACTGGCGGGCCCGAGCCGTGTCACGCCGCCCCCAGCGCGACCGCCTCCCCCACCCGATCGCGTCACACTCAAGGTCCAAAGATGGTGGGCGCACTTGTTTGTGGTCATTTACCATTATAATGAACGGGAGGCGCAGTTTCTACCAAAACGCTCGCTGCAGAAAAACTCCATGTCCTATTTGAAAAAAGTCTGGACCATGAGTGAGGGCACAAACACAGCTAAGATATATCCAAATGGCAAGTTGCTCCTCCTTTCGCTTTTGCCGAGAGAGCAGTGCGTTTGAGCCATTGAATGATGAACAGGAAAAACTTGACTTTATTCTCCTGCCATGGGGGGCGCTCTTTTAAAGAGAAAAAACTCCTTCACAAATGTGTTGATGGCTGGACATTGCATCATCCTAGAAAACATGGAGGCCAGTGAGGACAAAAATAAAAAGTTATAAGACTTTTAAATATGTGGATTTTAGCGTTATATTTGGCGCCCCCTAGAACCTAAACCGTGGGGTGCAGCGTCATGATTTGAATAACTTTTAATGGCCATGGGGTGTAGATTGGCCTGAGCAAATGTGGTGCCGGTGGAACGAAAGCCTTCGGAGGAATTAGCGAAATTCCAATGTGTGCGAATCTGCAAAAAATGCGAAATAACCCTTTAACCGTACATTTTACAGATACGTGGCCATTGACTTTTTCGAAGATCTTATTGAAATACACGTGTATGTAAAATTTTGTGTCAATACGACAAAACATACAGGCGTAGCACTCAACAATGTGTATTTTCACCTTAGTGGACAAGAAAAAATTGACTTTTTTCTCCTGCCATGGGGGGCGCTCTTTTGCCGAGTAAAAATTCCTTCACAAATGTGTTGATGGCTGGACATTGCATCATCCTAGAAAACTTGGAGGCCAGTGGGGACAAAAATAAAAAGTTATAAGACTTTTAAATATGTGGATTTTACGGTTATCTTTGGCTCCCCCTAGAACCTAAACCGTGGGGTGCAGCGTCATGATTTGAATAACTTTTAATGGCCATGGGGTGTAGATTGGCCTGAGCAAATGTGGTGCCGGTGGAACGAAAGCCTTCGGAGGAGTTAGCGAAATTCCAATGTGTGCGGATCGGGAAAAAATGCGGAATAACCCTTTAACCGTACATTTGACAGATACGCCCGCATTGACTTTTTCGTAGATCTTATTGAGTTACATGTGTGTGTCAATTTTTGTGTCATTTTGCCAAAGCGTACAGGTGTTACACTCAACAATGTGTATTTTCACCTTAGGGGACAAGAAAAAATGGACTTTTTTCTCCTGCCATGGGGGGGCGCTCTTTTGGGGAGTAAAAATTCCTTCACAAATGTGTTGATGGCTGGACATTGCATCATCCTAGAAAACTTGGAGGCCAGTGAGGGCAAAAATAAAAAGTTATAAGACTTTTAAATATGTGGATCTTAGGGTTATCTTTGGCGCCCCCTAGAACGTAAACCGTGGGGTGCAGCGTCATGATTTGAATAACTTTTAATGGCCATGGGGTGTAGATTAGCCTGAGCAAATGTGGTGCCGGTGGAACGAAAGCCTTCGGAGGAGTTAGCGAAATTCCAATGTGTGCGGATCGGCAAAAAATGCGAAATAACCCTTTAACCGTACATTTGACAGATACGCCCGCACTGACTTTTTTGTAGATCTTATTGCGATACATGTGTGTGTCAATTTTTGTGTCATTTTGACAAAGCGTACAGGCGTGACAGTCAATAGTGTGAATTTTCACCTTAGGGGGCGCTATGGAGCCATTTTGCATTTTCTTGTTTGGGCGACTTCGGAATATCAAATTTTTCACCAGGCCCGGTCGTCCTGCCAAATTTCATGAGTTTTCGCCAGTGGGAAGTGGGCCATTTTCCAGTTCAAAGGGGAGGAAAAATAATAATAATAATAATAACAAAAGAAGGAAACTACAGGAACAAGAGGGCTCTCGCAGCTGCTTAGCAGCTACGCTCGGGCCCTAAGAAAGAAACAAAGAAAAACCACTTGGGGAATAATAGGGCTCTCGCAGCTGCTTAGCAGCTACGCTCGGGCCCTAACAACACCAACAGCTCATGTAATGGTGAAACAAAATGAATTCAGTTTACAGGGTTAGGATATGAGTGATTGTAGACAATGTTAAATTAATTAAATGTGATTACAGTCAGCAGGCCTATTCATAGTCAGCTCTAGTTTTATGTTATTAATGTCAGTGAGGCTGATGTTCATGTCTGCAGTAACAGTCCAGAGGAATCCAGGAGAAGAAGGTGCTCAGGGCCTGAGGCGGACAATCATAGACGATGCGGCTAACAGTCCAGAGGAATCCAAGAGAAGAAGGAGCTCAGGGCCTGAGGCGGACAATCATAGACGATGCAGCTAGAGTCAGGCAGGTCTGCAGCAGCCATCAGTCCGGAGCAACCAAGGGGCAGGGGGTGTCTGCAGCAACGGTCCAGAGGAGCCTAAGAGATGGAGGAGCTCAGGGCCCAGGGTGGACAATCAGGGATGATGCAGCTGGGGTCAGGCAGTTCCGCAGCAGACCATCTGCAGCATTAGTCCAGTGGAAGTTAAGAGACTCAGAGACACTCAGAGAGACAGAAATCTGGTTAGTGACTTAAATGGGACATAAAGATCTAAAGAAGAGATAGAGAAAGACTCTAGCTCAGTGTGCCAGATAACCCCGGCAGTCTAGACCTATTGCAGCATAACTAAGAGCTGGTTCAAATCAGCCCTGACTATAAGCTTTATCAAAGAGGAACGTTGTAAGTCTACTCTTGAAAGTTGAGAGGGTGTCTGCCTCCCCAAACCTCGAGTGGTAAATGATTCCAGAGGAGAGGTGCCTGGTAGCTGAAAGCTCTTCCTCCAATACTATTTTTAGAGACATTTGGTACAATGAGCAGGCCTGCAGACTGTGAGCGTAACGGTCTAGACGAGAGTACGGTATAACAAGCTCATCGAGATATGATGGAGCCTGGCCGTTAAGCGCTTTGTATGTCATAAGGAGGATTTTAAACTCAATTCTAGATTTAAAAGGGAGCCAATGAAGAGAGGCAGGAGAGATGTGCTCCCTTCTTCTGGTTCTAGTTAATACCCGAGCTGCTGCATTTTGGACCAGCTGAAGAGTCCTTAAAGACTTACTGGAGCAGCCTGATAAGAGAGAATTACAGTAGTCCAGTCGAGAGGTAACAAAGGCATGGACTAGTTTTTCCACATCACTCTGTGACAGATTTTGCACAGTGGGGCTGGATGCCAGACTGATGCCATCTAGCGTAGCTAAATTATTAAAGAATGCCTCTCTAAGGTGTTTAGGACCGAGGACAAGAACTTTGGTTTTGTCTGAGTTGAGCATCAGAAAGTTGTTGGTCATCCAGGATTTTATATCTTTGAGACAAGCTTCTAATTTGGTAACCTGGTTTGCTTCTTCTGGCTTCATGGATAAGTATAACTGGGTGTCATCTGCATAGCAGTGGAAATTAATAGAGTACTTCCTCATAATTTTACCCAGAGGAAGCATGTAAAAGGTAAAGAGGATCGGTCCAAGCACTGACCCTTGCGGGACTCCGTAGCAGACCTTGGTGTGCGCAGAGGATTCATTATTAACATGGACAAACTGGGATCGATCTGTTAGATAAGATTTAAACCAGGAAAAAGCGGATCCTGCTATGCCGATAGATTGTTCCAGTCTCTGAAGCAGGATGCGGTGGTCGATCGTGTCAAATGCAGCACTAAGATCCAACAGGACGGGAACAGAGAGAAGACCACTGTCCGAAGCCATGAGTAGGTCATTTGTCACCTTCAGCAGAGCAGTCTCCGTGCTGTGATGGGTTCTAAATCCAGACTGGAAATCCTCCAATAAACCGTTATGAAGAAAATCACAAAGTTGATTCGCAACAACTTTCTCCAGGACTTAAGAAATAAAAGGAAGGTTGGATATTGGTCTATAGTTAGCTAGGGTGCTTGAGTCAAGAGTAGGTTTTTTAAGGAGAGGCTTAATCAATGCATTCTTAAAAGACTGGGGAACATATCCTGTTAATAAAGACGTGTTGATCAAGTTAAGCAAGGACGTACTGATCAATGAAAGAGTTTCCTTCAGCAGTTTAGATGGAATTGGGTCCAAAAGACACGTAGATGGTTTGGCTGCCAGCACCACTGACTTTAACTCAGGAAGGTCAATAGGTGCAAAGTTACTGAGGTGCACCAGAGGCCTTAGGGGCTCCTCAACAATTTCAGGGTTATCTAAGAGAGAGACACCTGATGAAGGCAAGAGGTTACTAATTTTACCTCTTATTTTTAAGATTTTTTCATCGAAGAAGCTCAAGAAGTCATCGCTGCTGAGGGCTAATGGGATACATGGTTCAGCAGTGCTCTGACAGTCCGTCAGTCTGGCCACAGTGCTGAAGAGATATCTGGGGTTATTCTTATTTTCTTCAATAAGAGACAAGTACTAAGTTGTCCGAGCACGTCGTAAGGCCTTCTTATATTTATCAAGACATTCCTGCCATAGAAAACGAGCTTCAGCTGGAAGAGCGGCAAACCCTTTCTCGTCTTCTTAATAACTGTTTCAGCTCACGGGTTTCAGCATTATACCACGGAGCCAGCCTCTCGCGTGTAAGAGTTTTCTGTCAAGAATTGATCGCAATGTGCCTGAGGTATCATCGACGAACTGATCAAGTTGCAAGGGACTGATGTTCAAGTATGAGCTATCAGCGAAGTTCTTCTCAAGCACAGAATTAAGAGCAGATGGAATTGCCTCCTTGAACTTGGCCTGAAAGCACAAATTCAAAAGTTACTAGAAAGTGATCCGATAAAAGAGGATTTAATGAGCTGACTGACAAGGCTTCAGCTTCAAGGCCATAAGCCAGGACAAGATCGAGGGTATGGTTAAAACAGTGCGTAGGTCCATGTACACACTGTGTAAACCCAATTGAGTCTAGCAAGGACAAGAAAGAAATGCTTAGGCTATCATTTTCCACATCCACATGAATATTAAAGTCACCAACGACGATGACTTTGTCTGCAAGAAGGACTAAATCAGATAGAAACTCTGAGAATTCTGACAAAAACTCAGAGTATGGGCTCGGAGGGCGATAAACTTTAGCAAATACCAGTGGTCTCATGGTCTTTGAGGCTGGATGCGGAAGACTGAGAACAAGACTTTCAAAAGAGTTATAATCCAGTTTTGGTCTTGGGTTAATTCCAAGACTGGAATTGTAGATAGCTGCAACACCACCACCGCGGCCAGAGTCCCGAGGAATGTGAAAGCTTAGGTGGCTAGGAGGAGTGGATTCATTCAAGCGGACATATTAATCCTGATGCAGAAGTTTCGGTTAGAGTAAATCAATGCGATGATCAGAGATTAGTTCATTTATTAACACAGATTTGGAACTTAGAGACCTTATATTCAGTAGACCACATTTTATCTTACTAGTACTTGGTTCAGCTATGTTAGCAGTGTTAATTCTAGTAAGGTTCTTGTTATTTACTCCTTTGTTAATCGATTGGTTAGAATCAAAGAGCCGAGGACGAGGGACAGACACAGTCTCTATATTACTGGCGAGCACCTGGTGGCTGGGTCTGCACCCATGGGGCTCAACGAGCCATATGGGCACTGCCTCCTGTGGACCCACCACCCACAGGAGGCACTTGAAGGGTTCGGTGCTTGACGGATTGGGCAGCGGACCAAGGCGGGGGCCTTGGCGGTCTGATCCCAGGTTGTGGAAACTGGCTCTTGGAACATAGAGCGTCACCTGTCTGGCGGGGAAGGAGCTGGAGCTTGTGGGGGAGGTTAAGCACTACCGACTAGATATAGTCAGTCTCACCTCTACACATAGCATTGGTTCTGGAACCTAAGTCCTTGAGAATGGTTGGACACTCTTCCACGCTGGAGTTGCTCAGGGTGAGAGGCGGAGAGCAGGGGTGGGTTTCTTGCTCGCCCCAAAGCTCGCCGCAGGGACGCTGGGGTTTTCTCGGCTGGACGAAAGGGTTGCTTCCCTGTGCCTCCAGGTCGGGGAACGGGTCCTGACTGTTGTCTGTGCGTACGCACTGAATTACAGTTCATAGTACCCACCCTTTTTGGAGACCCTAGGACAGACGCTTGACAGTGCTCCGACTGGGGACTCCATTGTTCTGCTGGGAGACTTCAACACTCACGTGGACCTGGAGGGGCGTGATTGGGAGGAACGGTCTGCCCGATCTGAACTCCAGTGATGTTCAGTTGTTGGACTTCTGTGCAAGGTGCAGTTTGTCCATAACTAACAACATGTTTGAGCATAAGGTTGTTCATCAGTGCTCCTGGCACCATGACGGCCTAGGCTGTAGGTCAATGATCTACTTTGTAGTCATATCAGCTGACCTGCGGCCGCATGTTTTGGACACTCGGGTGAAGAGAGGTGCAGAGCTTTCAACTGATCACTACCTGGTGGTGAGTTGGGTCAGGTGGCAGGGGAAGCCACCGCGCAGACCTGGCAGGCCCAAACGTATAGTGAGGGTCTGTTGGGAATGCCTGGTGGAAGAACCCGTCAGTTTGGCTTTCAACTCCCACTTCCGACAGAGCTTCATCTGCATCCCGGGGGCAGAGGGAGACATTGAGTCCGAATGGGCTTTGTTCCGCTCTGCCATTGTCGAAGCAGCTGTTGCGAGCTGCGGCCACAAGGTCGCTGGTGCCGGGCGTGGCAGTAATCCCCGAACTCTGTGGTGGACACCAGAGGGGAGCCGTCAGGCTGAAGAAGGAGGCCTACAGGTCATGGTTGGCCTATGGGTCTCCGGAATTAGCTGAATGGTACCGGTTGGCTTAGCGGTCCGCAGCCAGGGCAGTTGCAGAGGCAAAAACTCGGGCGTGGGAGGAGTTTGGTGAGGCCATGGAGGAAGACCTTCGGTCGGCTCCAAAAAGATTTCAGCTAACTGTCCGGCACCTCAGGGGCGGCAGACGGCAACTTGCCCACACCGTTCTGGATCGGGGTGGGGAGTTGCTGACATCACCTGGGGCAATTCTCTGGCGGTGGAAGGAATACTTTGAGGAGCTTCTCAATCCTACTGTCATGCATTCCCAAGGGGAAACAGAGTCTGAGGGCCTGGAGGTGGACCATCCAATCACTGGGGTAGAAGTCGCCGAGGTAGTAAAACAACTCAGTGGTGAGTTTCAGAATGAGTGAGATCCACCCAGGGTATCTGAAGGCTCTGGATGTGGTGGGACTGTCCTGGCTGACACGCCTCTACAACATTGCATGGAAATCAGGGGCAGTGCCTTTGGAGTGGCAGACCGGGGTGGTGGTCCCTATCTTTAAGAAGTGGGACCAGAGGGTGTGTTCCAACTACAGCTAAAGCTTATGCCAGGGTGCTGGAAAAGCGTGTCAGATCGATAGTTGAACCTTGGATCGAGGAGGAACAATGCGGGTTTCATCCCTGTTGCGGAACAACAGATCAGCTCTTCACCCTCGCTCAGGTTCTTGAGGGGAGATGGAAGTTTGCCCAGGTTCTTGAGGGGAGATGGAAGTTTGCCCAACCAGTCCACATGTGTTTTGTGGACTTGGAGAAGGCCTACGACCGTGTCCCTAGGGGAACCCTGTGAGTGGTGCTCCGGGAGTATGGGGTAGAGGGTTCCTTATTAAGGGCCATCCAATCCCTTTACCAAAGGAGCACGAGCTTGGTCCGTGTAGTCGGCTGTAAGTCGGACTTGTTTCCAGTAAGGGTTGGTCTACGCCAGGGCTGCCCTTTGTCACCAGTTCTGTTCATAACCTTTATGGACAGAATTTCTAGGTGCAGCCGGAGGGCAGAGGGTGTCCAGTTCGGCAGGCAGAGGATCACGTCGCTGCTTTTTGACCGAAGGAACAAGATCATGGATACAAGCGGCCGAAATGGTTTTCCTTCACAGGGTGGCCGGGCTCAGCCTTAGAGATAGGGTAAGGAGCTCGGACACTCGGGAGGCGCTCAGAGTAGAACCACTGCTCCTCCACGTTGAGAGGAGTCAGCTGAGGTGGCTTGGGCATCTGGTTAGGATGCCTTCTGGATGCCTCCTGTTAGAGGTGTTCCAGACATGTCCCACCGGGAGGAGACCTTGCGGCCGGCCCAGGACCAGGTGGAGGGATTTTATCTCTCGCCTGGCCTGGGAGCGCCTGGGAATCCCCCCAGAGGAGCTGGTGGAAGTGGCTGGAGTGAGGGCCATCTGGGCTTCCCTCCTGAAGCTGCTGCCCCCGTGACCCAGACCCGGATGAAGTGGAAGAAAACGACGACGACGAACTGAGGACTTCTTCCAGAGGACAGTTATGGTAAGTTTTTTCAGAAGTACACAAATTACTGAATAAAAGACCAGAAGATAAGAAGTGATTGTTAAAGATTTCAACCATGGACAATTTATCATAAGTATAACCAGATGCTTGCTTAATATGTGGAGGGAGCTGAGAGCATGAAGGATTCTCAAAAGATGCTATTGTTTTCCAGAATTTAGCAGAGCTATCAGACGCAGAGAGCTGAGACATAATAATTGGATTTGGCCTTCTTGATTGCATTGGTGCAGATGTTTCTTTTTTATCTAAAAACTAACCAATCTTCAGCAGTACCACTAGATCTAGCCTTGGACCACGCTTTATCTCTACTATGGATGACATTGGCGAGTTGTGGGGAGAACCAGGGACCGTATCTTTTTTTAACTCTGTGTTTTTTACAAGGCGCATGTCTGTCAGCAATAACATTAAAAGAATGTGAAAAATGTGCCAGTGTCTCAGAAGGATCTTCTATAGTGAGGGTGTCATTAATGTTTGAAGTAGATAAATCAATAAGAAAATTCTGGAGATTAAAATGTTTGTAATTTCTAGTGGAGATAAAGTGAGAGTGGAATTTAGGAATTATGGTGTTTTGACGTCACTGATGTCAAGTGGGAAAACTCCAGAGGCAGTGAAATTGTGTGGTCTATAAGAATAATGTCAATTAAAGAGGAATGGGGAGGGTTTTTTAAATTTGGTCTGGTGGGTTTGTCTATAAGTTGAGTTAAGTTGAGTTCAAGACACAGTTCTTTCAGTTTATTAGAGCTGTAAGAGAGCCAGTCCAGGTTTAAGTCTCCCATAACTGTTAATTCTGATGTGATGTATTGAGAGAGGACTGTACCAATGTCATCAACAGCATCAGCATGGGCTGAGGGGGGACAGTAAATACCAGTAATAATAACATGAGTCATTTCCAAAACATAAATCCAGCAAAATGTATTCAATTTTTTTAGGAACAGAGGATGATGATAGTTCATGTACTGTTAAACAGCCTTTTACATAAATTAACCCTTTGATGCGCAACATATGCACACCCCCTCTAATGCGCAACATGGGTCTAAAAAGACCCGCATTCATTTCCAATGGTATTTCATGCTGGCTGAGTTTTTCTTTGTTCTATCTTTTGAAATCAGTTTATTTTCTGATTGAATAGTCCAAGTATTCTTTAAATATCTTGTTTTTGATCACCACTGATCATTATTTCTATTTTTCTTTTCATACTTTATGAAATAATATAGTTTCTATATTATTACATCAAGTTTACACACATGGGTCAAAAATGACCCATTCATCCAAGTGTGATTTAATATTAAATTACCTAACACTATAATAATAATTTGTTTCAATGAAATTAGCAGTGAGTGGGGCCAAACCATAGACTGTTTATACTATGGACAACTTGGTTCCGCCTACCGCCTGTATACGGATTTGGAGCCAAAAAGCTCTTGATATTTCCAGGATTTTTCTACATTTCTGAAACCAGCACTGCTCAGTAGCGATGCGCGCATTCGGCCGCGCAGTCGCTGAGAGTCAGTAGCTACGTTTACATGGAGCCAAATATTCCGAATATAATCGGATTAGAAGCCCAATCGGAATGAAAATGCTCCATATAAACACCTCATTCGGAATAAACAGGCCCATTCCGAATGGAATTTCATTCCGATTCACAGGGGTAGAATTTTCCTTTTCCCATTCCGATTAAAAGCAAAATCCTGTCATGTAAACGGTGAATCGGAAAGTTGTCAGGCTGGGTTCTGTCTGCGCATGCTCTGTCCTGATGTAAACAAGCAGTGACGTATGACTCACATGGAAACATGATGGCGGCTTCCAAGCAGAGCACGATGCACTGGTCTGCGTCGGAGATCACGTGATCAATCAATCATGTGATGTTTGAAGGTATCACGTGTCTGTAAATAGCTGTTCCGATTGAATGCCGTGGCACATGTAAACACCAGATCAGAATAGATCGCTTCCATGTAAACAGTTCGCCTGGGAGCTTCAATCGGAATGATTATAATCCGAATGAGAAAAAAGTCTGCATGTAAACGTGGCTACTGTGATGACGCTCGGCTCAAACAGCGTATCCCCCCGGGAGAGCTACGCAATCCCTGAACGCCCATAGGCTGTATCCATAGACTGTATATACTATGGACAACTTCGTTCCACCTACCGCCTGTATACAGATTTGAAGCCAAATAGCTCTTGATATTTCCAGGATTTTTCTTCATTTCCTGAAACCAGCACTGCGCAGTAGCAATGCGCGCATTCGTCCGCGCAGCTGAAGAGAGTCGCTGTGATGACGCTTGGCTCAAACAGCGTCCCTGGGAGAGCTACGCAATCCCTGAACGCCCATAGGCTGTATCAGGTGTCAATCATAGCAAACATGAACCCCTAATAACTTTTAAAAATGGAGCTTCACAGAAAAAGAGGAAAAATTTATGTTCTGTGTAATAAATTTCTAAAGTTTGTCCACAGCCCTATCCGCTTTGCTGGCGGAGGCGGGATTTATAACCTATACTGCAGCCCATCAACAGAGGGTGCTGTTCTCGGAGTGGCTTCACCCAGCGAGGAGGCAGACTCTGTCCATTCTATATACAGTCTATGGCAGGTGTCAATCATAGAAAACATGAACCCCCTAATAACTTTTAAAAACAGAGCTTCACAGACAAAAGAGGACTTGAGCACAAACCAGTCTTACAATAACTACATGTCAACATCACAAGCAGGGGGGAGAAAAATATATGTTCTGTGTAATAAATTTCTAAAGTTTGTCCACAGCTCCATAAGGTTTGCTGGCGGAGGCGGGATTTATGACCTATACTGCAGCCTGTAAACAGGGGGTGCTGTTCTCGGCTTCACCCAGCAAGGAGGCAGACGCTGTCCATTCTATATACAGTCTATGGGCCAAACACTTATGTATTTTGTATCAGCAACATGTTTATTTGTCATTTTTTCACATACACATGCGTCCGATTATAGCTAGCTGAAATAACGCTAGCTGTTTTACCTGTAACTGTGTAACTTTCCAACATGTAATGTCCTCACTCTCAAGGTAACCTAAACCTAATCAAATCAAATCTATGTACAATTATATTTCACAATTGTCATCAAATAATTTCTAAGATAATGTCAGAACAATTGAAAAACCATACATGTATTAGACAGTCTTTTCATGCTAAATGCTACAGTCACTGTATGTGGGTCGTTTCTGACCCATGTATGTAAACTTGATGTAGAAATACAAAATCTGTGCTTCCTCATAACATAAGAAAGAAAAAATAAAAATGATTATTTGTGCTCAACTAAAACAAGATCTTTACTGCATACTTGGAATAGTAAATGATAAAATTAATTTATTTCAAAGATATACCATAGAAACACTCAGCCATACATGAAATAACATTGAAAATGGATACGGGTCATTTTAGACCCATGTTGTGCATTAGAGGGGTAGTGATACAAAAACGGTTTTTATTCTTAAAGTAAAAAAAGAAAAATTAACATAAGGATGTAGGGTCGTCAAAAACAAGTTAACTGAGGAATTCCTTGAGTACCGACTGATGGAATTAATTTTTTGAAAAGATATATAAAATTTAAACTAAGCCGGGTCTTTTTTGACCCATGTTGCGCATCAAAGGGTTAAAAGTCCTCTTCCTTTGCTTTTACAATCATGCCTAAAAATAATAGAACCGTCTGTGCTTAGGTTGTCCTTTGATATTTTGGAGGAGATGTTTCAGACAGGATGAGAACATTTGGTGAGGTTTCACGAATGAGACCTGCTCCGTGTTTATTCTTATCCTAACTCTTTTTAAAGACAAACTTTTTTGTTCATAGTTTCCTGTTAATCCTGCTCCCTCTGCTAATATGAGAGTCAACGTTTTACCCTCTTTCCTGAGTCGAAGTTTTAGCTCCACTTTTAATGTGCGGTAAGTCTGTATGTGCTGCCCTGCTGTTCTATTGAGAAAATATAACAGTATTCGGGTCGAAATATATAAATCTAATTAAATTATTAAATGTACTAGACAACTTGTGAAATGAGCCAGAAGCCAGGTGATCTCCAGCGAATGTAAACCTAGCTCAGGAGACAGACTGCCGGCCCGTAGAAAGACAAATTTTAAGCCTATGTAAATGAGTCTTTTAACATAGATATCATACTGATAATACAGCCTTATACTCACACAGACTGAGAAATCTATTTCAGTGGATAATGAATCAGACACCTGGTTTAAATGGTTTGAATTACTCTGATTTTTAATATTTACATATGTATACAAATAAATCTTTCCTCTTATGCATAACCAAAGGCTGGACTGTTTTGGATACGAACCCTAACCTCCTCTAAAACCAACACTAATGAGGAGGATATTACAAACTCATTTACACAGCACTAAGATACAAACAACCAAATGGAACAACATATGTAGGAAATGCCGAGCGAGCTAATGAGCTGAGGAATTCGGTCTTATGTAATGAAGCCACAATGAGCTGTTGTGTCACCTCAGGCATTTGTTTACTTGGTTTCCTGACAGGAGTCGCGTTTGCATGAAGATGATCCAACTACAGGAAAAAAGATGATGGATTTACAGCATCAGTCATTTCTTAGAAAGCTCAGACTAATCAGACTCTGAGTTTATTTACTTCAGACTGTTGGAGCGTCCGACAAATCAAACCGAGCAGCTCAACGCCACAAAATATTACTATGCAGGTACGTAGGTATATTGTTCTTGTCTTTTATCAGAGCTCCTCCATTATTACACAGTCAAAGCTCATCTGAAAGTCAGCTCAGTCCAGTTTTTCTCCAGGGTGTAAAGAAACTCTGGGGATGGAGGAGAGTTTGTTTTTTAATCCACCACCAACAGTCTGGAGAGCAGTTTGGAGAGCGACCGAGGATCCTGTGGAACTGAAAAGCCAGAAGAGAGAGATGAACAGCAGACTGACGTGTGTCTGCACACAGGGAGGCCTGCCAGTAAGGAGTTGCTGTAGCCAGTCCTTGATAATACGGTAGCCTTTGCCCAGAGCCGCTCAGTCAGATAGTGTCTGATCCTCCTGATGTTGTAGAAGGAGAGTCTGGTTGTGGTACAGGAAACCATAGAAACTGAACATGTGCATATATGAGTTGATGAGTTGTGCAACAGTTGACAATCAGTCACAGGGTTTCTGGTCTGCTTCACTTTGTTGATCTGCTAAGAGTACAGAGGTACGCGTACCTTAATCATAGGTATGATGAAGGAAAATAAAATAGACTTTCATGGGCCTGAGTAGGTCTGAGAAGAAAACTGCAGCCCAGCTTGCATGCTGAATCTCCCAGCAGTTTTTATTTAAAAGGACGAAGCTGACCAGCATCCACTGAGACCAACACACGAACAAACGACACGCAATTTGAACAAATGCATTTGACATTTGGCGTAAAAACCTACAAGATAAACAAATAAAGGGTTTCCTCCCTCCATGCCCTGTTTCTTGCCACCACTCTTAACTGCATGTAACATACATCTTAACCTCATGTTAAAAAATAATGAATTATTCTATTTGTATTTATTAGTATTTATTATTAACAGCCTGGATAAAGTTCTGTGGGTGCACATATCCTAAAGAAAAAAAACATAATCCTGAGTTTCTGTGAGCAGATGTTGTCTCCAGCTGCTCCATTTCCTCCTATAGATCTCGTTTACATCAAGCCAAACAGTAAATACTTTGATAAAGGGACAGCATGCTGCAAAGACTCACATTTTCTTTAAGTACATTTTGTAAGTGAATTTGTTGAATTTGTTGTGACACAGAGGTCTGAGAAGCCTGAGAGGAAAACAGGTGCAGGGTTTGGCTTCTTCTCAGACTCAGATGAAGTTTGAAAAAACTCTCAAAGTTATAGTTTGGATTTTGTGCCAAGATAAGACTAATCGGACCTCAAGGAAGTCGGTTACTAAACAGCAACTTGCATGTGAAAAAGGAATTTAGATGTGTTTGTGGGTTTTGGTTTGGAGCAGTCACATCTCTTACTGGCAATGATTGGAAACAAGGACTGTTTAAATGAAGAGTTAATGGGAAAACCAAAGATCAGACATGTTTTTGTCATAAAGACTGTAATGAAACCGTGTTAGAAATGAAGAAACCTGAAATGTTTGTGGTTTGGTTTGGAAGCTGTTGATGTTTTTGTATGAGTAATACAACCACAAAACCACAGACAAACAAATTATCAGATAAAGGTGGTTTGGGTTTGCGCCGATGCAGCACGTAAACAGTAAGTCAAAGTGAGTGTCATCAGCGTCGAGATAAATCTAAGGTGGTCTAAGTTGTCTATTCGATTTATCTCTTACTCTTTTAATGATGTTTTTGATGTGTTATGTGTCACAAACAGTTTAATTTGAGTGGCATAATGAGTGATGAGGGTCTGTTTTTGATATTGAGTCTATCTTTAGACGTCCTGACAGTGAGCAGCTCGGCATGCTCATGGTGGTTTTGGTTTCTCCCTGGGAACATTTTTTATTTCCTGTTTTTGGTTCCAGTGTAATGGTGCTGACAAAGATCTGGATCAGGGTCAGTAATAAGCTTCATGGTCAGGGTTGTACAATAGACTGCTAGTCTATTATACAACCCTGACCACAGCACTTACTACTTTCTGGGCAGCATAAATGAAAGCCTCTGCAGAGAGAGAGAGAGAGAGAGAGAGAGAGAGAGAGAGAGAGAGAGAGAGAGAGAGAGAGAGAAACAAAAGTCTTCCAGCTAATAAAACTAAAACTAAAGATTAAAAGACACACAGAGGCAGCTGTAGACTGAGATTAGAAAACAGTGGTCTTCATTTCAGCTGATTTTTTCATTTTCAATAAATAGAAAGTATTTTAACATGTTACACCAAGTGTCTTCGGCTTCAAATCTTCTGCATGCTCCAGCCCACTTTCTTCTACACCCAGTCTGTTCCCACGCTTATCTCTTTAAAACAGCAGCTGAGAGGCTCCAAACTGTGATATACAGTATATACAGTGGACATAGAAGCTTCTCTTTTCACTGCTAGGTTCTTTTTATCGCCAGGAATTATAAGCGTGCCAAATAAATACCAGACTCTCTATCTGAACTCTTTGATAAAATTGTCAAGTTTTGGTAGTTAAAGTTTCAAAGGTCAACTGTGACCGGGCCTCAGAGCATCATCTTCATGCTTGAGGTTGGTGTAAACTTAATGTTCCACTAAGATGTGTAACTATATACTTTGCACACTTGTGTATTTCTTAAGTTTGCAGAGCTCTGTGCAGTAATGCTGACATCAGTGGAGGACCTACATTATCAAATTTATCATTGGGTGTCGTGATTTCCTATTTTGATGTTTACAACAAAGAGACATTCTGCAGTTAAGGATTGAGATGTTTCTGTGTATCTTTTTTCCAACAAGTGATAGACATAAAAAACATAATCCAAATCCATCTGTGCTCATATGAGAGAGTGTGAAGGACGCCCTCTGCAGCGACACTTGCTGAGGAGCTGCCTTCTGTCGCCATCGTGTGGCATTTCTGTCTGCAGACATCTCTTGATCTCTTTGACTACTTCACGAAAATAGTAATACGCCTCGCCGGTGGTGGATTTAAAGGCAAGGAGAGGAGCTAATGTTATTGGTCAATACAGGTCTTGGCTGTGTTGAACCCACTCCACGCCCTCTCTTCTCCCTCGCTACAACTTACGCCGCTGGGAGGAGCTGAGTTAGGGAGGGGGGATACTTACGCCGGGCTGCGCCTCTCACCAAAATACCAAATTGTGCTTGGGAACGCCTTGTCGGCGCGGCGGACCTGACTTACGCTGCACCTGCGGCACGTCTCCGGTGAAGCACGAAAATAGAGCCCTGCGTTTTGAACCAAACAGTGCAAACTTGTTTCTAGTCATCATAAGTCCAATTTTTGTGAGCTTTTGCCCACTCATATCTCTTTTTCTTGTTCTGTGGACGAAGTAGTGTTTTTTTGCAGATACACGACCCTTCAGACCAGCCTTTCTCAAACGTCATTTCACGGTTGTCAGAGATATGGGTTTCGACCTTGTCTTGTTGATTTCCTCCCTTATTTTTGGTGCTGTCTTTTGCTGATCTCTCTTACTTGTGACAATGCTACATTTATCCTCTGCCTTTGTAGTAACTCTCCTTCATCCAGGTCTTTTTCTATCATCATAACTTCCAGGTTCCTCTAGTCTCTTCAGAGTGTAGTGGACTCCTTTGTTAAACACCTTTAGGCGTTTTGCAATTTCTTTTTCTGTGTATCCTTCTTTCCTCAATGTACAAATATGTACTTGTTTCTTTACTTAGTTGATTCTTTTTAGCCATTTTTGCGGTGGTTTGAACGCAGTTGAGATTTATTAGGATTTTTGTATTCAGACTCTCAAAAGCCAAAAAGTTGATGTGATTTGTTTTTTTGCTTTTGCACTGAAGTTGTGACTCTTGCAAATGTTTTCAACCCTAAAACTAAGCCCTTATTATCTTTTGCTGACATATATTTAGCAATGGTCTGTTAACATGGAAAACTTACATTTACAGATGCTTTCCTTCTGAATTTTGACTTGGCAAAGTCCTTGATAATGTCTTCAATTTCCAGGGAGGTTGTTAATACATTCTCAATCGCCTACAGGGCAAAGGAGTTCAGTTTTTTTTTCTGTTACTGTTGCTGTCCTGTATGTTTTCACTTATTTCAACAACGAAAATGGTGTGGCTTTCCAAATCATGTCCAATCAGCTGAATTCGCCACAGGTGGACTGCAATTAAGTTGGAGGAACATTTTAAGGCTGATAAGTGGAAGCAGGATGCACCTGAGCTCAATTTTGAGTTTAATAGCAAAGGTTGTGAATACTTATGTATATGCAACATTTGAGTGTCTTATTTTTAATAAATTTGCAAAATGTTCTAAAAAAAGTTTTTCACTTTGTCATTATGGCGTATTTTGTGTAGAATTTTTGAGGGAAAAAAGGAATTTAATCCATTTTGGAATAAGGCTGTAACATAACAAAATGTGGAAAAAGTGAAGTGGTATGAATACTTTCCGAAAGCACTGTATATATATATATATATATATATATATATATATATATATATATATATATAAAGGCTGTCAAAGTTAACGCGTTATTGTCGCGTTAACTCAAGTGACTTTTATCGCCACTAATTTTTTTGACGCACGATTAACGCAAGCCTTAGCCTGGCTTGATCAAACTATACACACACTGCGTGGATATTCTTGCCGTTGTAAAAGGGTAGAGGAACAGTTGGTGAGGTGTCCAGGCTATGTGAGCCTCGGGGCACTCCGTAGTTTCGTGAATCAGGATGTAGAGCACTGACTGATACCGCAGCAGACATAAACAAATCCCTGTGAACAGTAACTAGGATATAATGGATAAGAACACAATTTTGAACATAAAGTTCAGCTACAAAGCCTTGCCAGATGGCTCTCTTGACAGGACAAAAGTCATTTGTGTTTCCTGTTGAGCTGAATTTAGTCACCGGAGTACGTCTAGTCTCAAATATCACTTGTCGGCCAAGCACACAGCTGATGCAGAAATGGAAAACTTACATTTACAGATGCTTTCCTTCTGAGTTTTGATGAGGCAAAGTCCTCGATAATGTCTTCAATTTCCAGGGAGGTTGTTAATACATTCTCAATCACCAACAGGGCAAAGGAGTTCAGTTTTTTTTTTCTGTTACTGTTGCTCTCCTGTATGTTTTCACTCGTTTCAACAACGAAAAAGATCTTTCTCCTGAACAGTTTGCACTTGGTAATGTCCAATAAATGCGAAGGCAAATGTCCACATTAGGGAAAGCCTCCCTCAAGCCTAGTTCTAGGAGCTTCTTCTACATGGCCATGACAGATTTTTCATCTTCTACCATTGAGATGAACTTACAAAACTCTGCTGTAAAGTCCTCTTTAAGATCCTGAGGGCATATTTTCTTCAGCTTTTCTGTGGCTGCACGGATTTGTTCAATGTCCATTGATTTTGTTTTAGTTAGGAAACTAAATTTCTTTTCCACATTTTTGTATGCATCTTTGCTTCTTTGCAGAAAAATGCTTCACGGCCTGAGCACCGCAACTCTGGACCTGCAGACTCACCAAACATAACTTTCATCACTTGTTTTCTTTGGCTATCTGCTTTGTATACCTCTGTTGCTGTGAGAGTTTTGGCCTCTGCTTCATAGACATCAAAATCATTTTTGGCTTGTCCTATGAACTCTATGAGTGAACTGTACAGAATAGGAACAGTACATACATCAATTTGTACCTGCTGCAATGCTTTGCTGGTTAAATTGATTCTCCTCAGCAGGTCATCCCACAGTACTGTCATAACTGCAGTTTCAAGGGTGTCCATCAGGGTTATTAGTTGACATGCCTCATACTGAGCAGCTCCAGGGGTTCCATGGTCAACTTTGATTTCATTCAAAGCATCCTGAATAGCTTTGTAGCCAAATCTCAGAGCTTTTGTTGCATCAGCTCTTGCAGACCACCTTGTGCCAGAAAGGCTCTTCAGTGTCAGATCTCGCTAGGCCTGGATTGGCAATAGGGAGAGGCGGGACTTTTGCCGGTGGCCTGCCTCCTATTCGCCTGACTGGCCTGGCCGCACTGGCAGGCCAACAAAAAAAAAGCTGGTCTGCTGTTTCCAGGCAGACAGGCCAGGGACAGCAGCACTGCCTGCAGAGTACACGCCCTCCTCCTGCCACTCATACAAAGCATGCGCTCTGAGTGCTGGGATCAGAGGGGTTGGGATTCATCAAAATATCGTGATTGGTCAGTTGCTTTATGGCCCGCCCCTTCACAGCGTAAACAGGAAAACAAACACAGGCTGTGTCTCATTTCAGAGACCGCACCGTCGAACGGTGTCCCATTTGGCTCGTAATTCTGAGCGCACTTCAAATGCGATCCCAAACCACACTACCCCCGCCCCTTTTTCAAGCATGCATTTATGCACGCTTTTGTGGCCCTGGTATCCCAGAATTCTTTGCATGCCGGAGCACAGCTGCGCATTTCGGGTGAGTGGCTGGACTCACTTGGAGATGCAGCGCGTCTTCAAAGAGAATAAAAGAAATCCATAAACAGCAAACTGTCAAATCAGGCTGCATGAGCGCATGATCTCTAAACTTGCTTAAATCTGCAAACCAAACATTATACTCTTTAGAAAAGAACGGATCCGCTCTGCTACAACAATCAAAAACATTAGAAATAAGAAAGCTGACAAAACTACATCAGAGTATCAGGACCACATCATTTCTTTTAAAAGACTTAGAGATTAAAGTTGTAAACTTGGAAGAATAAAGTTATCAAGTAAATAAAGTCATAAAGCTGCTTTTGTGGAGGGGGAAATGACTGAAGCCGGTCATCTACAGGGTCATCGGTGGACGTATCATTCAGAGAGCTTTTGTGGTTTCTGAAGAAACAATGGCAGCATGTGTGGTGTCTCTGTTCAGTCTCTGCTCAGTGTCTGTCTGTTTTTAATATTTCTTTCTGGATTTTATAATACTTAGTATTTTTTTTTTTTTCCATTGTGGACTACTCAATGCTCTAGTTTACTGAAAGTTTGCATCAAGGTTTGTGGATTTTGGCATTTTCCTTTGGGAAGCTACTCTGCTCTACTTTGTTTGGCTACTCCATAGGCCACCTGTTAGCCTTTAAAACCTACTCAAGACTATGGGAGCGGCTGCAGTGTGGCTAGATTGCAGCCAAGATCTGCAGCAGTACCAACAACAAGAAAAACTCAGTAGCCTGAGGCCTACCTCATCCACCCAGCTCTGCAGCCTGAGGCCTACCTCATCCACTCAGTTCTGCAGCCTGAGGCCTACCTCATCCACTCAGTTCTGCAGCCTGAAGCCTACCTCATCTACCCTGCCCTGCAGCCTGAGGCCTACCTCATCCACCCAGTTCTGCAAGCCTGAGGTCTACCTCATCCACCCTGCACTGCAGCCTGAAGCCTACCTCATCCACCCTGTCCTGCAAGCCTGAGGCCTACCTCATCCACCCAGCTCTACAGCTGAGGCCTATTTCATCTATCCTGCCTTGCAGCTGAGTCAACTTCCATCATGGCGAGTATAATTCTCGCCCTCCTGGCTTTGCTCTGTTTGCCTTTATTTTCAGAGTATGAAGCCAACCAGGAGATCCCAGTGAGTGTCTGTAGCGTTTCCCTACATGTTCTTTGTATGTCATCACGGGCAAAGGTTACTAGCTGGGCGCAGGACTTTGATTTCAATCAAGGGTGCTGGAAGCTTGAAATGAGCCAGGTTTCAAAGCATGTAAACTTTAATTATCTTTTAAGCCTTCTTCTCCTAAAGGACTGCCTTATCCCATCAAATGACTCTTGGCCTATTACGATAAATGATGTCTCTGAGAAAATCAAGAAGCATTTTCATGAAACACGCATGTTGAAATGTATGATTATGCTTATGTTGTTGATATCAGGGAATGTTCAGCCTAACCCAGGCCCTGTGTCTGATGTGATAACACTACAAACCCCTGCTGAATTTCTGAATAGGTCTGGTATTGGTTTTGTATATGAATGTGAGAAGTCTTTTGCCCAAAATTGATATGGTTAGAATTTGGGCCAAATCAACAAATGTTGACATTATGGTTTTATCTGAGACATGGCTGAGTAGATCCACGCCTGATAGTCATATTTATTTGGATGGGTATAATATCTTTCGTGCTGATCGCCGTGCCAAAGGTGGAGGCATAGCAATTTATGTTAAAAATACATTTCAGGCAACAGTACAATTATCCAAGTCTGTATTTAAACAATTTGAATTGCTTGTCTTGAAAGTTGAATTTACGAAGAGCTGTGTTATGACAGTAGGGGGATGTTATAGACCTCCTTCTGCCTTAAAGGATACACTACTCTCATTGTCTGACTGCTTATCATATATTAACTACAATGATCTGCTTTTAATGGGGGATTTAAATTGGGATTGGTTAACCCCTGCTTCTGATTCTTTTAAATGTTTCTGTGACTCAGCCCTTTTGGCTCAAATTATTGACTCACCAACTAGGCCAAACCCTAAACACCCTGAGAAGTCTACACTCCTTGACTTGATTTTAACCAATTTTCCCGAGAAATACAAGGCTACCGCTGTGTTTGCAAATGATGTTAGTGATCACTGTGTTATTGTTTGCGTGAGAGACACAAAGTTATCAAAATGTAAACCCCGTATCATACTTAGGCGTAATTTTAAGTCATTTTCTGAACAAGCCTTTTAAAATGACATGTATCTATGTGATTGGACCAGGGTAAATTTGATTCCAGATGCTGAGACAGCTTTACAGTATTTTAATTCCTTACTTTTGGACAAACATGCTCCTCTCAGAAAATACAAGGTTAAAGGTCGTGATAATCCATGGTTTTCAGAGCAACTGTCTGATTTAATCATAAACGAGATCTTGCCTGGGCAACTGCAAGAAAATCCAAAAATAGCTCAGACTGGCAACTTTTTAGGCACCTGAGGAACAAGTGTGTCTCTCAGATACGTAAAGCCAAAGCCGATTTTTATCTTAATGAAATTTGTGACAGTGCAAACAACCCTTCTAAATTCTGGAAAATGATTAAATCACTGTCTTCAGGGTCAAAGGATACTGTGCTGCCAAATACATTAAAGTTGAATGATGTGACCATTACAGACAAGAAAAGTATGCTAGATTCTTTGAACCAGTACTTTATATCTTCTGGGTTGTTGTTTGAGCAGGACATACCACAAGTGGTGAATCAACAGGATCACTCATTGTCCAGGGAAAATCTACCTTTTGATTTTGATCTTGTTGCTTTGTCTAGAGATGAGGTATATGATGCTCTCTCAAGGTTAAATGCCAAGAAATCCCCCGGTCCTGATGGGTTGGGTCCTTACTTTTTAAAACTTGCTGCTGAGCATATTGCAGACCCCCAGACTTATGTTTTCAATCGGACTATAGAAACTGGGATAATACCTAGCATTTGGAAATCAGCGTATGTCACTCCTTTACTGAAGGGTGGTGACAGGTCTAATCCCAATAATTATAGGCCGATATCCAAATTACCTGTTTTGGCCAAGGTCTTGGAAGGGCTTATAAGTGATCAGCTGAAAAATTTCTTGACATCAAATAGCATTTTAAATGAATTACAGTCTGGTTTCCGTAAAAAACACAGCACAGTCACTGCCACGATGAAAGTGTTAAATGATTTCATTTGTTCTATTGACTCTAAAGAATATTGTGTTGCTTTGTTCCTAGATCTGTCAAAGGCTTTTGACACAGTCGACCATTCTGTCTTGTCCCAGAGATTGGAGGATATTGGAATGTCTTCCAATGCGGTGAAATGGTTTGGTAACTACTTGAGTGGCAGAACACAAAGGGTTCAGGTTGATGGTTTGTGTTCCAACTCCTTGTCTATTCGAAACGGTGTCCCTCAGGGGTCCATACTGGGTCCTATTTTATTTACTATTTATATTAATGTATTATGTCAAAATGTAACTGATGCCAATTTCCATTTTTATGCAGATGACACCGTTTTGTATTGCTCAGCTCCATCATTAGCTAGTGCAACAGAACATCTGCAGTCTGCTTTTAATGTTATTCAGAAAAATCTCTATCAATTAAGACTTGTACTAAATACTGACAAGACTAAAATGATGTGCTTTTCAAAATCATTGAGATCACATGATGTCTGTCAGATTGTTACTCTAAATGAGAAATTAGTTGAACGAGTTTCTGTCTACAAATACCTGGGATTTCACTTGGAAGAAAATTTGTCCTTTAGGCACCATATTGAATGTCTTACAAAGAAACTTCGGGCGAAACTGGGTTTCTTCTATAGAAACAAGGCTTGTTTCTCCTTTGGTGCAAGAAAAAGGCTTATACAGGCAATGTTTTTATCCATACTTGATTATGGTGACTTCTTATATATGCATGCAAATCTCTCTTCTTTAAAAATGCTGGATTCAGTGTATCATGCGGCATTAAGATTTGTAACTGGCTTAGATTTTCGTACTCATCACTGCAGTTTATATGAGAGTGTTGGTTGGTCCTCTCTGCAAAATCGTAGATTGGAACATTGGTATATCTTTCTTTACAAGGCCATTCTAGGTGACTTGCCCTCTTACCTATGTTCCCTCTTAACTCCCAAAATCACCAACAGGAGTAATCTCCGGTCTGATGGACAGATCATGTACGCTATTCCTCTGACAAGGACGGTTTTTGGCGAAAGCGCTTTCAAGGCTTTTGCACCCTCCTCCTGGTGTAAATTACAGGGTTATTTTAAATTGGATTATCTGCCAAGTATGGCACATTTTAAAACTAGAATTAAGGAGTTTTTGAGTACTAAATGCACATGTCTTCTTACTGAATGCTGATTTATTGTTGTGTTTTGCATACTGTAACTGTTTTGTGTTTCTGCGTGTGTGTTTTTTTTTCTTTATGTGGAACTTCTTGTGCTGCTATCCTGGCCAGGACTCCTTTGTAAAAGAGATTCTGAATCTCAATGGGTTTATTTCTTGGTTAAATAAAGGTTACTAAACTAAACTAAACTAATCCAACGGATGATCAACATTTGTGATCCAGAGGGAGTCGAGCTACGACGAGCACCACGTCTCTGACACCGGCGGTAACCTACACCTGCAGAGACACCAACACCTTATCATGGCATATGGATTCATATCATAAACTAAGCTCAATGTCATTCATGGCTATTTACGGCTGAATTGACGGATTTATCTGCAGCATATCCATTTCTGCTTCCACAAAGCGATGTATTTCTCATATATTCTTTTTAAAGTCTTTCACTTATGGCAATGTTAAGGATGACATTTTTCCATTTTCCAGTGGGTCACGTGATTCCCGTGGGAATCCCTTGGGATGGGAGTCATTTTTTAATTAATCCCGTGACCAGGACGGGACGGGGAAAAAAAGCAACCCGAGCGGGCAAGAGCGGGAACAACATTAATAGATGATAATTTTCAACCGTGTTAAACAACCAGATGAACAGATTCGTCCATTTTTGTAGTCATCTCTTAGTGAGAGCCAACACTCTTGACCGCGCAAGCAACACAAAAGAACTACAACAGTGGATTGACTTCCTGTCAGCCGGGAGCATGGCTGCGCATTTCTACCCTTCAAGCCAGGAGCGCGGCTACGTCATTTTGTGACATTCTGTAGTTTTTTAATCATTTCTGGAGTCGTGGCGAATCAAATCACTTTACCTGTCTGCCTCTGATAGGGGAATAAAGCGCTTGGATTCATGCTCAGATCTTGCTACGTGCTTCATGAGTAAAGTAAATAACGACGGAGGCAGAGAGCAGCTTTGGAGGACCTCCTCTTCACATGGAGTGCTTTGGTTCATACTATTGGTGTTTTCTGTGAGTGTTGCATGACTTTGGGTGAGCACAGAGATGAACACACTTCAGCCACGTATTTATTTATTCATTTTTCTAGTTTTAAGTGCTGGTCTTGTACTGGCACTATACTAGGGCAGCTGTATACCCTTTCAACACTTGATTTCTTATATTTACATTTGTGTTGAATGGACACTTTATTATGACTGCAACTTGTTTTACAGAAAGCAAATAGTTTATTATTCTCCAGTGCAGTTTAATTCATTTAAGTTTGTTTCTTCAATGTTTTCAAAAATTTGATGAAGGTTCCAAAAAATAATAGATAGCTTTCTTGAAAGCCACACATGTAAGCTCTCAAATACTTTTTGAATTCTGTTTCTATCTGCGACAGAGGCTGAGATATCATAGATATCATATATATTTGTAAACCTCAACAGTTAAGAAAACCTCAGGATCTGGGGGCCCTTCTCAAAATGGCCCCCAGGATTCCAGAGGCACAGCTCAGACAGCGTGGAGGGGGTCTCGTCTGGGCAGTAATTTAGTCTAGAACCGCCACTCTATATATATGCACTTTGCTTACACCGACCGAATGTCAGGCATGTGAAACTTAAAGGCATTGCCTTTTATATGCACTGCACTTTACCTAAAATAAAAAATGCAACATTTTTTCAACGTTTGGTTTTATTCAAACGTGAGCGGGACAGGAGTTGGAGTAGTTCTGAGTGGGAGCAGGATGGGAGTGGGAGTCATTCTACAGCAGTGGGACAGGACAGGATAATTTTTTTACTCCGGGATTGGGATAGGAAGGGATTTTTTCTCTGGGAGTGGGATGGGACAGGAGTGAAAATACGCTTCCGTGTCACGCTCTATGACAATGTAATGCTGATGTGCCAAAGGATGAAGTTTCTCCTTGTTTTTGAAACCGATACTGAGCACAGTTCCTTCAAATGCTCCATGGCCCTAATTTTAACAACTCTCCTCTGAAATAACAGGTAATCTTACGACTTATTCTCATAAATTAATGACTTTATTCTCGTAAATTCACGACTTTAATCTCAGTCTTTAAGAAAATTCTCAATACGGCCCTCATACTCCATACAAAACATGGAATCACTGGATGAATTTTGTGGAAATGATCTGTGCTTGTATGTATCTATTGTTTTGTGTCTGTGCAAGGTCACACAATTAAAAAATAACTGCTGCACCCCACGGCTTTTTTTCAAGTCAGTCGTGACGCGAGCCTGAGGGCGGGGACATTTGGCGACTCGACCAGGAAGTCCTCCGAAGGATAGACCGTCCCATTTCACAAAAACAGGACCATCTCACTCAGGTTACTCAAGTCCACATAACGGCAGTTATGCGGTCTCTGAAATGAGACACAGCCACAGAGCGCTAAGCAGGGATGATACGAGAGCGAGGCGAGAGAGGGGGGCAAGAGAGAGAGAGGAAACTTAACTGGTTCGTGGAAGCAGGACACTTGTCCTGCTTACTTGGTTGTTTGCGTGGCTGAGGCAAAATAGTAGGAAACACTCGGGAGGCGCTCAGAGTAGAACCGCTGCTCCTCCACGTTGAGAGGAGTCAGCTGAGGTGGCTCGGGCATCTGGTTAGGATGCCTTCTGGATGCCTCCTGTTAGAGGTGTTCCAGACATGTCCCACCGGGAGGAGACCTCGTGGCCGGCCCAGGACCAGTTGGAGGGATTATATCTCTCGCCTGGCCTGGGAGCGCCTGGGAATCCCCCCGGAGGAGCTGGCGGAAGTGGCCTGGGTGAGGGCCGTCTGGGCTTCCCTCCTGAAGCTGCTGCCCCCATGGCCCAGACCTGGATAAAGGGGAAGAAAACGACGATGACTTTTATTGACACTTGCCATGCTGTGCATGCAGCTTTTCGATAAGGTCGGCTGTAGATTGGTCTGTTTCCAACCGCTTGGGAATCTGTCACATCTCCTTGGTACTAATGGCGGGTGAGTCCCCCCTGGTGAGAACCACTGGTTTAAAGCAAAGTACTCACGCGTCCTGTCATCAATTTGGTCCCATTTTGGAGGATCAGATGGATAGCTTTTCAAAACCGTTTCTCGGCCCAGAGGCTCCGTCAAAACCTGGCTCGGTCTCTGGCTCTGCTGACACAAGCAGGTTCACAGCTGTTGGATGGCTGCCCGACAGAAACTTCTGTATACCCCCCTGCTGTTTCTTCTTTTCCTCCTCTTCATTTTTTTTCTTTTTATGTTTTGCTGCACCTGAAAGCAACTTGAATTTTACTGTTAGCCTATTCAAAAACAACCTGCCTGCTCGCTTAATTGTCTCCTGCCATCCCACGAATTGATCTGATTGGCGTTAATGTGACGTAAAGTAACTAAGTATCGTCACTGTTTTTAAAGAATTAATAAATGTTGATCTATTAACACTGAAATAATTAAAGATATGAAGTTTGTATTTTTTTATTTTTATTTTTCTTAGATTAATTGCTTAATTAATTAATTAATTTTTTGTCCCTCTGTCTGGGCCCATCCCCTTTCAACCGGTCCTAGGCACGTGCCTTTCTGGCTCTGTGTATATATATATATATAGTGTAACGGCGTCAGTTATAATTGCTGCAGTATCTCTTTCGATCTGTGTGTGTGTGGGCTGTGGGCAGGTAAAAAGAGAGGGAGGGGGGCAGTGTTCCGGAGTTATTGGGAAGTGATCCGGAAGTTGTAGGCAATTTGTAGTTATTGGTGGGTTTTTGAATGAGATGCCTGTACAAGTCCGAGTCTGAATAAAAGCAACGCCAGAAGACCAGTCCTGTGTCGGACCTGTTTTTGAGAAGCGTTACACTGGTGTCAGAAGTGACTTCGAACACAAGAAGACACTTGGTGGGACTTTTTTTGTCTTCCGTGGTGCTTTTGAACTGATAGCCGCTATTAGCCCGTCCGCGCTATGGATGCTAAGCGGGGGAAGAAGGTATAGTCGGAGGTGACGTCCGACGACGATGGCGCGGCTGCTGGAGGGTGGATGGATGACCACACCAGTGAGCTCCAGACGGCTACAATCGAGGCGAGACGTCGGCTGAGGGAGGCGACGGTGAGGATGGCGAGACAGGCCGGCTTATCGCCGACATCGGCGGTTCGCGCTGCTACTCGACCGACCGGAAGTGACGCTCCGCGCTACACCGGAAGTGCCCTCCCGGTGCCGGCTGGTGGTGCAGATGGGGACGCTCCTCGCCCAGCAGTGGCTTCTTCAGTGAAGGTCCCCAAGTTCTCTGGTAGAGCTGACTGGGAAGCTTTCCTAGCACAGTTCGAGCTGCTCGCTCAGGCTGGAGGCTGGAGGCTGGTCGGCGGACACAAAGGCGCTGCAACTGGCTTTGTGCCTCACAGATGATGCTTCGTCCTGTCTACTGCTGCTGAGCCCAGATGAAAGACGTGACTATGGGGCCCTGGTGGGGGCGCTACAGAGGCGGTTTGGTCAGTGTCAGCAGCCAGGTCTCCTCAGAAACGAACTGAGTAACCAGAGCAGGAGGGAAGGGGAACCCCTGCGGATGTTGGCTAGTGAGCTCGAGATGCTGACAAGGCGGGCATATGCCCACATGCCCCCCGGGGTACAGAGCGAGCTGGCCCGTGATCAATTCATAAGAGCGCTCCACCCCAAGGAGCTGCGGGTGCAGGTACAGCTCCAACACCCGCAGACACTGCAGGCGGCTCTGGAGATGGCGTTGGAGAGGGAGAACGTGTGGGGTGGGGATGAAGCAGGCGGGCAAGAAGGGGGCTCGCTCGCTGTGAGGTCGACATCGGGCAGCTGCCCGAGTGAGGAGAGGCCTGCGTGGGTGGATGAGGTGACTGGACTGATCAGAGCCGTGGCGCTGCAGGCGTCGAACACACCCCACCCAGAGCCCAGGGTCTGCTGGGGCTGCGGCCAGACGGGTCATCTGCGGAGGGGGTGTCCCAAGACCCGCAAGTCGCAGGGAAATGGCCCGGGGACCGCATAAAAGGGGATATGCGGTCCCGAACACCTGCCCCTTTGGAACCACGACCACTACTGCACCTGCCGCCGCTGTGTGGCGCCCCACCTCAGGAGGAGCAGGCCCCACCTTTCCCCGGAGCAGTTGGCTCGGATTATTCGGGATGGGAGCCAGTGGTCGCAGTGGGGCGGGCATCGTCAGGGGACGCCTGCTACATTACTGTATTGGTGGAGGGGGTGCCCTGTCCAGCGCTAGTGGATACAGGCTCAACAGTGACTATGGTGAGGCCAGATGTGCTTCCAGAGGGAACCCAGCTGGAACCCACCTTGGTGCGGTTATGCACAGTTACGGGGGAGCTGGCTCCCATGAGGGGCAGAGGACTGCTGCTGGTGACGGTAGGAGAGAAGACACTCCGTCACCCTGTCTGGGTGGCTGCCGTCCAAGACCCGTGTATCCTGGGCCTGGACTTCATGAGAGTGACGGGCTGCCAGCTGGATTTCCTGAGAGGGACTGTGAGCTTTCTAGGGGGCCCGTCAATCGCACTGTTTCCTCGTTTTCTGCCCCATTCACCCCCCACTGGTCCAACAACGAACACAGCGGAGACGGTGGCGGCCTCTCCTGCACCGGGACTGTTGTCTAGCCTTCCTCCTCCACAGTGGGTAGATCCTGACACTAGCCTCAGCAGGGATCTTCTCTCGGCCCCACCATCCGCATCCCTCAGCCGAGAGGAGGAGAGGGTGTTAGCGGTGGTGAATCAGATCTGGGAAAAGAACTGTAGCGGCCTGGACACGCAACAGCGGAACAGCTGTGGCAGGTGCTGCTGCAGTTCAGAGACTGTTTTGCCCTGAGTGATGAGGAAGTGGGGAGAACCCACCTCCTGCAACATGAAATTGACACCGGGGAGGCGCAACCCATCAAGTGCCGCCCACGGCGTCTTCCCCTGGCACGGCAGCAGGCTTGTGACGAGGCCGTGGAGAAGATGCTGCAGGCAGATCTCATTGAGCCTTCAGACAGTCCGTGGGCAGCAGCTGTTGTCATGGTGCCAAAGAAGGTGGTGGGGTGGCGCCTCTGCTCGGATTACAGACCGGTGAATGGAGTAACTAGGAAGGATTCCTACCCCCTCCCTCGCATTGATGAGTCTCTGGACTTGGTCTCGGGGTCCTCCTGGTTCTCATCCTTGGATCTCCGCAGTGGATATTACCAAGTGCCACTTTCACCGGAGTCCAGGCCTAAGACAGCCTTCTGCACGGGGCGGGGCTTGTGGCAGTTTAAGGTGCTCTGTTTTGGACTGTGCAACGCACCTGCCACCTTCGCCAGGCTGATGGACAAGGTGCTGGCTGGAGTACCACGTCAGCAGTGTCTGGTCTACCTCGATGACATCCTGGTTCATGGTGGCTCCTTTGATGCTGCCCTGGGGTCCCTGCAGCTGGTGCTGAGCCGAATCCGAGGAGCTGGCCTCAAGCTGCATCCAGACAAATGCCACTTCATGCAGCGGGAGGTGCAGTTTCTGGGACACAGAGTGGGGGGGGAAGGCATTGGCACCCTGGAAGAAAAGGTGCCCCCCCCCCCCCCCCCCCCCGCTGATCAGAAGCAGCTGAAGAGCTTCCTGGGCTTAGCCTAGTACTACAGAAAGTTTGTGCGGGGTTTTGCCTGTATAGCTGCGCCCCTGTTCCAGCTCCTACAGAAGGACACAGACTTCGTTTGGACTGAAAAGTGCCAGGTGGCTTTCACCTGCCTGCAGCGGGTCCTGAGCGGAGCACCAGTGCTGGCGCCGGCTGACCCCGCCTTGCCCTTAATCCTGGATACGGATGCGAGCGGTGTGGGGGTAGGTGGCGTGCTGTCCCAGGTGGGGCCAGAAGGGGAGAAGGTGGTCGCCTACTTCAGCCGGGCCTTCAACAAGCACGAGAAGAGATACTGTGTCACCCGCAGGGAACTCTTGGCAGTCGTGCTGGCCATCAGACACTTCAGGTATTACCTGTGTGGCTTGGTGTTCACAGTAAGGACAGATCATGCAGCCCTGCAGTGGCTCATGTCGTTCAGGGAGCCAGAGGGGCAGGTGGCCAGGTGGATTGAGGAGCTCCAGGCCTTCAACTTTACTGTGGAGCACCGGCCTGGGCCACGCCACGCCAACGCAGATGCTCTCTCTCGGCGGCCCTGTGCGGCGGTAGCGTGTCGTTACTGCAAGAAGAGAGAGGTGAGAGAGAGAGAGCTGAGGGCAGAAGAAGAGGCTGGGGGCCTGGATGGTGCAGGGGAAGAGCACAGGTGCCAGGGGCTGCAGACCGTGGACGGGACGGAGTGGAGACAGCAGCAGGCGCTGGACGTGGACCTGCAACCGGTCATACAGTGGATGGAGGCACAGCAGCGACCCACTTGGGAGGAAGTGTCGTCGCTCTCAGCTGCAACCAAGGGGCTGTGGTCCGGTTTCGAGGCCCTTCGTCTACACCAGGGCGTACTGCAGCGGGGATGGAAGTCCCCTGCGACGGGAGAGGTGACCTGGCAGGTGGTGGTTCCAGCAAGCCTGCGCGGGAAGGTGCTGGAGGCTGTACACGGGGCGGCAGGTTCCGGTCATTTCGGAAGGAGAAAGACACTACACCGCCTCCGTCAGAGCTTCTACTGGGGTCGGTGCCGGAGGGACGTGGAGGAATTTTGTCGCCGATGTGACCCCTGCACAGCCCGCAAGGGTCCCACAGGCCGATCACATGCCCCGCTCCAACAGTGCCTGGTGGGGGGCCCAATGGAGAGGGTGGCAGTGGACGTAGTGGGGCCATTCCCACGTTCAAACAGAGGCAATCGCTACATTCTCACTGCCATTGACTATTTCACGAAGTGGCCTGAAGCGTACGCCCTTCCTGACCAGGAGGCAGAGACTGTGGTGGATGCTCTGTTGGGGGGC